CATCTCTATGAGGCTCTTCAAAACGACAACAGGACAGCTGTGGTTGTTTGGTAACAGAGCAGAGCCCTCTGCTCTGACACCAGCTTCTAGAATAAACAGTGTCTAATACTTCTGAGACATTCTGGAGTCCAGTCAGGGCTTGTAGATGACATGAGACTTCTGTGAGACAGTGTCTTTTTGGAACAGTAACTAGGAAGCAGGAGGACAGCACCAGGGAATCTTGGCTAGCACTGGACACCTAATCATGTCTACCTGAGAGCTGGGGATGTGAACTACCTGTGAAGTCAAGGCAGACACAGTTAATAGACCTGGAGAGTGATTCAGCTTGATCCACAACAGACACCACTGTAACCAGTACACCCACACAAGGCTGGTAGGCAGGACACAGGCTTTTACAGAATCTTCTGGAGCAGCAGCTGGAGGCTAGGCAGGATTTGTAGTAAAAAACTGTGAGTAAACATCTGAACTGAACCCAACCAGAGATTCTTGTTGCTTCTGTAGGCTAGTACTGGAAAGTCACAGTAATTTAGAAGAAATTAAACCAGAGTATGTATCAACTTTCATCCATTCATCCATTTCCAAGAAAGAGTAAGATTTAGTCTTCTAATTTTTTCTTCTATAAGGTCTTTCTAGACATTAGAGGCAGTCTCTAGTGTAGTTACATCTACACAGGCTGATCAGTGAGACACAGGAGTCATGAGATACCAGTGCCCTTCTGAACTAGAAGCAAAAAACCAAACAGATTAGGGACTGTATTTACTTGTGCTGGACAAGAAAGACACATCTATGTCATGGGTAGAATGAACACAGTTTTAATACTTAATGACATGAAGCTTAAATCACTTACATTTGAAAATTTAGATAAAACAATATACATTTCATTTTAGGGCAGGAAGTTTTCCCAGAAAATTAGTTTCTAGCTTCTTTCAGCATGATCACAGGCTGAGCTTAGTTGTAATACAAACAAAATTATGGGAATTCAAACCCTGTTTCTTTCCACCTACGAAAAAAATAAGGCTTCCAATATCCATACCTATACAGAAACCTCCTGCACTCATATAGAAAGGAAACTTTTTCTATGCTAAGTAGTTTTAAATCACACACATTTAAGAGAAGAATTCAGAGTAAAAAACAACACTACAGACACTGGTAAGGAGTTTTATCTCAACTAACAGAGCCCAAGCAAAATGAATCACAGAAATTCTCTCATCCTGAGAAATTTATGCGTTTTATAATTCCCAAAGGAAACAATCGCATCAGATAAAAATCTTTAGACCAAAATTAAAAAGAATAAAGCTGACAGAACTGCCTGAAATACCTATTTTAGCAGAGAGTTATTAGAAACTCAGCATAAATTGCCTCTTAATAATACTCATCATGCATCTATTGTCAGTAAATCCAAGTAACCCTGCTTTTTTATACCTCTGTAGACTTTATTTTATTGCTTACTTGCTTAGTAAATTTTAACTAGGTATATTGGAAATGTGTTTAGACTGTCACATGAAAAAGGTAAACTTCCATCACTCATTATGAGCCTACTTTAAAATATCCAGTGCTTGGGGCTAAAGGCATGAGTTTACAAAGCTCAAATGATTGGTCAAAACATTCAAAAGATCCATCTTCAGAATATTTTTGTCACATCACAGGCATCTCAGTAACTGTGCCCTAAAGTGCACTTAAAAGTTTTAACCAGGGGTAGTCAAGATCTTAGTGAGGAAGCACTGATAAATCTTTAATCCTCATCACTTCCACTTTTAATTTCAAGAGAGTATCTACAAACCTGAGCTGAACAGAAGATCTATATACACTAGCAGGTAATGACTTAGCAATATTGTATGCAAAAGTTAGAGTGAACAAATCAAATGGGCAGCAACGTATTATTGAGCTAAGAGATAATCCTTGTCAAATTCCAGCTGTTACACTTTTGTTAATTTCTATATAACTTTTTCAGGAGACACTGTTCACTGAAAAACTGCAGGATACCATTTCACAGTGATAGAACGTCCTGAGTTGGAAGAGCCCCAAAAGGATCATCAAATCACAAGGATTACCCTGCACAGACCCATCCTCAAGAGTCACACCATGTGCCTGAGAGCGTTGTCCAAATACTTCTTGAACCCTGTCAGGCTTGGTGCTGTGACCACTTCTCTGGGGAGCCTGTCCCAGTGCCCAAACACCCTCTGGGAGAAGGTTATTTTTCTAATATCCAACCTAAACCTCCACTGACACAACTTTGGCCATTCCCTTGGGTCCTGTCTCTGGTCACCACAGAGAAGAGATCAGTGCCTGCCCCTTCTCTTCCCCTCACGAGGATGTTCTCACTGCAGTGAGATCCCCCTCAGTCTCCTCCAGGCTGAACAGACCCAGTGCCCTCAGCTGCTCCCCACACAGCTTCCCCTCAAGGCCCTTCACCATCCTTGCTGCCCTCCTTTGGACACTCTCAAATAGTTTAATGTCTTCTTACACTGTGGTGCCCAAAACTGCCCCCAGCACTCGGGGCCACCCCAGTGCAAAGCAGAGCAGAGCAGGACAATGCCCTCCCTTTCCCGGCTGGAGATGCTGAGCCTGATGCCCCCCAGGACAGGGTTGGCTCTCCTGCCTCCAGGGCACTGCTGACTCATGGTCAGCTTGTCATTGACCAGGACTCCCAGGTCCCTTTCACTGGTCTCCAGCAGCTTGTTGCCCAGCCCAAGAGCAGATGTTGAAACTTGACACGGTGGTTGACTGCCCATTCCTCTAATTTGCCAAGGTCTCCCTGTTCGGTGTCTCTGTCTCCAAGTCAACAGTTCCTCCTAATTCTGTACTACTAGCAAAGTTCCTTAGTATTCCTTCAAGTTCTGCATCCGTTTGGTATACAAATTGTATGTAAGAGGTTTTGCAAATATATTTAGAATGTTAAACTTTTCAGTTACTAGCAATTCAAACAAATGCTTTAGGGATTAAGAATCTTTGAATCCTATAATCCCCTGGATCCTTCAGTTCCCTCAGGAATAGATGGATAAGCCTGGACTTCTTCCCAGCCCCATTCTTGCTAAAGAATGAAGAGCATTAATATTGCCAGAGCAAGATGTGAGGAAACATGCAATACCTTCCATCAGGCATTATGAAATCCAATGTCACATGTCACAAAAATTTCCTAGCTATTTCACAGTGTTTTAACAAGCAAAAGAAAAATTAATTCAGTGTTTAAAAAATGAAACACTCAAGTAGTCATTGTAATTAGTATTAAAATAGGATAGAGAATTCATGTAAAGTCTGACAATAGACTTTTATATGCCAGTAACGCACAGTAAATTACTTTTAAAAGACAGTTATTATTTCAAGTGTTCAAAAATTTCTGACAAGGGACTAATTAATAACATTGTATTGGTCTTCGTAAAATGGACACTATTGTCTTCTAAAGCCTAATTTTGAAATTATCATGAAATTTTAGATGCATTATGTTGTCTGATTTAAACTATATTTAACACTGCTTTGTTATTTAAAAAAACAATTTGAAAGTAAGATAACAAGAACTAAATTTATTTGGCCTGAAGGGAAAATAATTAGAGAACTAAATAACTATATAAATATTCACAGAGAAAAAAGAGATTGAAAGGAAGAGAAATATTTTCACTAGGATTAGTTGCACTAGTGTCAAGGGCTGAAGCTGAAACAAAAAAAAAAAAAAGAAAAAAAAAAAGAATTTAAGCTATGTATTAGGAAAAAGTACTTTTGAAAACAATAAGTTTGCCTGGACAGAGAGGAAATGGACTGATTTTCAAGTGAATCAGCCTGATCCCCTTCCTTTTATCTCTCCTAGGCAGTTACAGAGGTTTCTTAAAGAGAAACAGTTGGTGTCTCTTATCTTTTCATGAGTCACTGAAGTTATTTGAATTGTCGACTACAAGACTGAAAATTCTCAAGAGCTTTTCTCCTCTAATTTCACCCATTTCAGGGGTACCATTAACCAATGGAGAGAGGACATCCTAGCTTCTAGATAACCTGCAGGAAAGTGTGCAGTCAGGTGAGGAACATAATGGAAACACTGTGTGGTACCTACAAATGTTCTTGGCCAGTGCCAGCTCTGAACTTACATGACAGAAGCCAGGTGGTATCCTGCATATCAGAGACATTAAGGTACCACTGTAGAGTAGGTTTTGAGATAACAAATTATCACTGGACATGACTATCAACTCAGTCCCTAAGTGGTGGGGAGATACTCAGGATGGCACAATATTGGAATTATTCTTTAGCTTATATAGAAACACCCACAGTTAGTCCTCAGGGCATTTGTTTTCATTTACTGAGACTGTGTCTGCATATATAGCTACAAATTAATTGGGTCAGTCTCTTATAAACACAATACAGTAAAATCTGTTGTATTAATTTATTTGTTTTGACTTAATACCATATTACTAGAAGGTCCACTGAGAAAATAGAAAATACTGCATACTTAAAAATGACTTGATTTTTTCTCTCTTTTCTGAGGGTCTCATGATTTCAGAGAGACTTTTCAGAAGAAGAGAGGAAGGGAAGGGAAAAGAGAGAGGAAGGGAAGGGAAAAGAGAGAGGAAGGGAAGGGAAAAGAGAGAGGAAGGGAAGGGAAAAGAGAGAGGAAGGGAAGGGAAAAGAGAGAGGAAGGGAAGGGAAAAGAGAGAGAAAGGGAAGGGAAAAGAGAGAGAAAGGGAAGGGAAAAGAGAGAGAAAGGGAAGGGAAGAGAGAAAGGGAAGGGAAAAGAGAGAGAAAGGGAAGGGAAGAGAGAAAGAGAAGGGAAAAGCGAGAGAAAGGGAAGGGAAAGGAGAAAGGGAAGGGAAAGGAGAAAGGGAAAGGGGAAAGGGAAAGAGAATCTGCAATTCCATGAAAATGTTTCTTCTATCTTGCATCCTTCGTTATTATTTTGTTAAAATTTATGCTAGGTGTTACATAGACGGGGTCTCCTTTTAAGTCTAGCTCCAGCCGTGGTTAGATAACTTTGCAATACACATTGCCGTTTCTGTTGACGGTGCCCTTTTTTTTGGTGGGCATTGTTTTGTTTCATTTTGGGGTTTGTAATTTTGTTTCTTATTTTCAAAGTTCTTATAGTGACACACACCCCCTCCTGGCTGGATATTATCACCTGGGACCAGTGGCCTGGTTGCAAACTTCTGAGCACTCCTAATCCTTGCATTCTCTTCATTGCCTTGCACAGGTATCCAGATCTATCATGAATACTCTCAAAGGCTGCTTAAAAGAAATGGGTGTTTCATTAAATCTGCTGTGCTGGCTGAGGGGTTGGCAGCAGTTGCCTCCAGCAGCAGACTGGAGGCAACAACCAACAAGTATGCAAGGCAGATCTCAGCATCACAGCAATTTCCACACCAGAGTATTGGTTAGGATCACCAGAGTACCCATGTCCAAAGCAGTTTGTATTATCAGAAATCAGACTTGGACAGTTAAGTAATTAATTAGTCAAGCTCCTTTCTATGGATAGATATCAAATCTTCAGTGAGTGTCTGTGGATTTTTATGCTTCTCTTCTCCTACTTCCTTAACTACTTTAAGCATGATGTTTTGTTTGGGTTTCTTTGGTTTGTTTCTTACAGAACTTGCATTTATCATAAGCAGAGATGAGGACTGTGCAGCAAGTTGCTGCCTATTCAGAGGAGAGAAAAGCAGGGCTCATTCAATAAAAAGTGAAATTAAAACCCAATTCTGTTCCTCCACCAAAGTTCTGAACGGCGAAATAAATAAATGTTCTGAACTGTAGATTTGACAAAATAGGAATTAAAACATCTTTCTTAATGGAAACAACCAAAACCAGTTAAATGGTGGTTAAGCTAGAGCACTAAGCATATATTAAAGCAGTAAATCAATTTTTATTCAAAATTCATCCTAGTTCTCTTTTCTACTCTACACCAGCTAGATTGAACTGCATACCAAAATCACTGTGTATTTTGTATTCTCTGAAGACTGTAGGCTAAAAATCTAAACATCACTAAGTTTCCTTTACAAACACGCTTTTTAGAATTACAAGCAATTCACTACTTTCCCTGAACTTTGGATCAGGCCAAGACTACCTTGGCCAAGATGTAACACCTAACAAATTGGCTCTCAAGACAGTCTTACAGCACGGATTTACATCTAAACCCACAGAGACTCTGTGGCACGTGACATGATTGCTCCCAAAGGGAGATGCTACTTCCAAGTTGTGCTATCAAGAAATATTCCCTGCCTTTGGCATAATTGTTCAGTAATATGCATTTTGTGTATAGAATAAAACAGAAATGCTGATGGGCCAGCTTTTATCGTTGCTGACACAAACTTTTTGAGCATAGCTGTATGAGATCTGCTGACACAAACCTTCTCCTTGAGAACAGCTGCAATTGCCTGCTGCTTTGAGAGGATGGGGAGTTCTTTTCTCCCTTTTTCTGCCTCCTGTGGTGAACTCCAAAATGCTAGCTGTGCTGATGGGGATGAAGTATCTACCAATAGCTGGTTATGATATAGATGCAAACATACAAAAGACAAAGTCAGTTCTCCTCCTGTCTTCATCCTCCACTTGTCTTTCAGATTATTTAATGACCCCATGCTCAGCAGTATTTGAATAAGATGGACAATTATCAAAAGTGCTCCAGTTAAAGCTGAATACAGCACTATGCCTATTCCTCTAAACTGATATGCACTTGGGATAGGCAAAATTCCCACAAAGAATCAGATGCAAGGCAAGTTACTTGAAGGTTAGTGAGCATATTCACAGAGGACAAGTGCAGCTTGAGAGAGGGTAAGGCAGCAGCATCCCAGGCTCTGCATTTCAGGGCACAGCTAGTGTTTAAGTGTTTTAAAAGATACTCAAGGAGCCTCCCATCTCCCTGGTTCAGCACAAATAATTAAGAGCTTATGTCTCCCCTCATCAAAACCAAAATGCTTAAAGATAACAATTAAAAGTATTTTGCTGCTTTAGGGCCTCAGTGGCTTGTTTGTGAGGATCTCAATGCTGAGAAGTCCCCCTTGAATGTAAAGGTGCATTTGGGTCTTGGAGGAACTGATGTACATTGCAAAGTCTTTCATAGCAGTTGCCACCACAGAAGCCTCATTGTTTAATTTAGATGTCCTACAGCAATTACTGCCAAGCTGTGTCTGGGTTGATAAAGCAAGCATTTTGCAACTCCAGATTTTCTTGACTTGTGAATGCTCATTTTATTGGTTTTAGAGTTGCCTTAGCATAGCACAAGGTCAATCTTCTGATTTCTAACCACCCTCTTACTTACTCGTGTTTCAAGCTCACAGCTCAAGCAGAGCTGGTCACTCCCTCAGCTGTCAAGGCCTAAAATGCAGCACTCACCACAAAAGTTTGATCCTGAGCAAAAGCGTGAAGCTTCCTCTTAAAATAAATTAAATTTTAAAAATCCAAAAAAACCAAAAACCCAAAAAAAACTCATACACCACTCACCCCCAAAAATCCAACTACACAAATAAAAACCTCACCATAATGATGAGTGACAATTAAAAAAAAAAAAAAAAATCAGTACTTGTGTTTAAGACACACTAAGACCAGGGCCCTCAGCCCGAGACAAATGTGTTTTCCCAATGGCTGCCACAAAAGTTGTGTGCCAGCAGACATGAGATACACACACACACACACACACAGAGCATTGCATTTCTGCATTCCCCCCTCTGCCCCCATTCAAATAATAAGGATGATTAGACTTTAAATAGCATATTCTCTGTCCAGTGAAACCCTTTGTGTTGCAGGCAGAAATCCACACAATCACACTGCTCAACTCAGTTGGTTACAGACAGAAAGCTTAAGCAGATGGATAAGCTACTGACTGCACTGACAGACAAGTCAGCACATTGCACCTTGTTCTAAGATCTATTAACAATCCTGACCTTTTCTGACAAGATGTATAAAATGTGAAGCCATCAACAGACCCCCCAGTACTCTGTCTTTATTTCCCAATTAAATTTTTCTATCAAAATTTCTATATATATATCTTGAATTTCAGCAGGGTGAAAATAGGAAAGAAACTGTTACTGAGCACTCCAGACTTAAGAGTTGTCCTCTACTTTTCCTCAAATAAAACATTTCTCTTTCCTGCACCAAAGGAGTTATTTGGAGTCTCATACCATTCTTTGAAAGCCATCTCAGATGCTATAAAGCTATCATCTTGTCCTTTGTTGTCTTTCCTCAAAGAATTTTTCCAGAGTGTAGTGGGACAGAGAAGGTAGACTTGTGGGATGACAAAAATAAATTGAAAAAAGCTAGCAAGATGTGTGGTGTGACCATTGCTAGCCTCTCTTGGCTGTGCAGCTTGCAGCTGGAGCTTCATCTGAAAACAACCAAGTTTTGTGCTTTCACCTGGCTGGAAGATTTTACCCCTTCCTACCTCCAGAAATGGGGAGACAACTGACAAAAAATAAATTCCTGAAACCTACGGACCAAATAACATCAACACTGAGTTACACAGATGCTGGCACATTAAGGAGAATTTTACAAAAGCAAGTCTTGTCCTTTCTGCAAGCTGTTGTAAGCATCTCTGCCTCATAACTCTCCAAAAATAGGCCAAATCTGCTATAATTCACAGACTTGCTACTGGAAAAAAAAAATTTCAGACTGCCTTAACTATCTATTGCCTAAATCCTAAACAAGCAAGGAGACAAAGCAGAGTACAGTATTCACCTTGAAGCAAATAACTTTTCTTGTCCTGAAACAGAAAACAGGAGTTATTAAGCTCACGTCCTGCTCATTAAAATTTGACCTTTATTACTAGATCATTACTTCCAATTATTGCCTGTTTCTCCTTAAGGCAGTTACCTCATGTATTTGAGCCAAAGGATGAGTTCCTTGGCTGATGAAGGTTGTATGGTAGCTGGGCAATGGCAGAGGAGGCTGGCTGGCTGTACCTGACTGTGCCTTGAGACAATAGGTTCCATGGATGACTGAGGAAACAATTTAATTTCTTTCAATTCCAAGGAAAAAGATGATTTTCAGCTGAATGGAGAAGAGTGCTGAGGGAGAGTAGCAAATTTGCATCCTACCAGACCAGTAGCATCACCAAAGACTGGTTTATTATTATTACTGTTTAAAATTCCAGAGACAGCAGGGGTAGGCCCTGCCTCTGTTCAGTCCTGCAGCCTCCAGTGACAAAAAAAAAAAATCCCCAAACATAGATCCATGTTATTAAACTTATTTTCTGCTGTTCTCACAGCCCTGCCTCTGGTCCCTTCGCACTATCCACCCTGGGGACCAGAAGGGACGTGGACAGCTCCTGTCCTTTATCACAGCACTGGATGAATCTTACAGAACTACCTCCAAAATCCTACTCCAGAGGAGGATGAAGTTTAAAAGAACAATATCAGAAGGGCATAGCCCCATCTGCTGAACGTTGATCTCCACAGGTCTGTCAGCATCAGCAAGGATCAAATTGTACCCTTTGCCTTTCTGAAAAATGCCTCTCTACTTTGTGCATGACCAGCCCTTGATTGACCCTTTCCTCAGTCTTCCTTTCCCACATAAAATTTGTATCTCAAATGTAACTAGATGCTTCCATAATTAAAGAAGTGAGAAATTAGGATGACTTAATTTGAAAAATATACTCTGAAGCAGGCTGAATGTCAAGAACTTCATAGTGTACAAGAACTGTATTTGATTTCAAGACTTGCTTTCATTTTTGAATCAAGTAAGAGATGTGGATTTCCGTCTCCCACATCCCACTTGAGTCCCAGTGCCTGTGCTGCAGGTCTGCCCCCTCTGTTCACACACAAACCAGTCTGGATTCAAACACATTTCTCAAAAATTCTTTCAAAGTAGAAAATATTTCCACAAAAAGACTTTGTTTTCAACAAACTGTCAAGGACTTGTCTCTGCCTAAAGTCTGTTAGTATTAAAGCAGAGTGCATTTCAAATACAGTGGGTGATACAAATATGAAACTATTTCAAAGCCCCTGTTCTACTCACAGAGACATCCTGGAAAGCTGTTCAGAATAAGCCCATGTACAGGCAAGTCCTCTGAGCCAGGCCACAAAGGTCTCAGTTCAAATCCTCTTTAGAAGAGCAGACAACTGAAAAGCCCTAGATTGCTAAGCCATGTGAACTATTCCTACTGGTGACAGCCATATGCATTTTTCCATATTTCTGGTTAATCTGAAGAGAAATCAATTTGGACAGTCCTGTGAAGTTTCTTTTGAGTTTAGCAAGGGTCTCAGAGGGGAAGGCTTTGAGGAAGCAGAGCCCAGTCTACTGCTGCTACCTGGCTGGGTCTTGCTCTGTACAAGCCTCAGAGCACAGTCTGTGACTCACTCTCTCACATACTGCAGAACTAATCGCTGGTTTAGTACCCACCCACAAAAGCCTGCAAAGGCCTCACAAAAAATCTCTGCAAAGCACAGAAATCTTCAATCAAAATCCTTACTCTTCCTGCTTCCCTAGGCACAAATACAGACGAGAGAGAGAGAGAGAGAGAGAGAGAGAGAGCGTGCAAGAGAGTGAGAGAGAGAGAGGAAGGTAGTAAAACCAGCCTAATGCTGCTTTAAATGATTCCAGCAATATCAAATAGATCAAAAGAACACTATGATCTACTAAAAAAGGAAAAAATATAAAACAAAACATCCAAACACCCAAACACAACACCAAAATATAAAAAATCCACCCAACAAACCAAAACCCAGAACTACTTCCCATAGCAATCAAGAAATCATTGTGAACTTTTGTGCACCTAAAATCCACATACTTTTTTCAGATTGCTTAAACTGGGAGATGATGATAGCAGCATCTACTTTTCCTGTCATTTCAGATTGAAGTGCGAAATAGAAATGGCATTTTGTTACAATACTCAAAATAAGTCTTGTTTTTATATTGCATACTGCAATTGTAAATGGGAATATATTATATTCCTTTAAAGGTAATTACCTTGCTTACTGTAAACAGTGCATTTGGCATACTACATTTGAGCATGCAGACATACTCAAACCAAATCAATGTATATGTATTTTCAAGTATGAAGCAACACTTTTCATCTCCCACCTCTGCATTTGAACAAATTTGTTCTATTGTATGTATAACAACCTTACACTTGCTCCTAAAAGACTTTAACTCAGTTCAAGTCTCTGTGCCAGACCTCTTTCTGCCAAGAACCTGGAGTTTCCTTTCTGGCTGCAAATAATTATTCTGTTCCTGTAGAGAAGGATGTAAATCCATGCTGTTCTCCATTTAGATTTATCTTTAGAAATTTCATGGAGACCTTAGGGGAAAACCTTCCATTCAGTTTATCTCTGGTGTTTCCTGAACTGACAGTTCAGACATCAATTTGTCTTTAATACTCCTAATTTCTGATGGGTTTTTTCTCCCCCTCTTGGAAAAGTTCAGCAATTAATAGAAAAATCTTACCAGTTATTTTCAATCCATCTACTTTTGTTTTCTGAGTTTCAGTCCTGCTCCTCTCCTATTCTAAGCCATGTGACATGGCAAGTTCTCATAGCTCTAACCAAATCTCCAAACTAAAGGACAGCAAAGTCTCACTGAAGAGCATTTGGCCTAAGACACTCCCCCACCTCTGCAGGAGAGGAAAAACCTTTAAGTATAGGTGAAAAGGCACTGTCAGAGTAAGGCTGGCCACTGGAAGTATCAGAAAATAGATCTGTCTGTCACGATCCGCTTATAGCGGGGTGTCGTGATGGTTCGTTAGCCGATCCCAAAGTGCAAAAGACAAACAGCAGGGACTATCAGTTTAATCACAACAGATGCACCTTTATTAAGGGCCAAAAACAATAAATGTGATAGTGGGGGTCAGAAAAGAAAGAAAAAGGATAGAGAGAGAGAGAAAGGGGGGATGGGAATAGCTACCAACACAGGCGAGGTCCTCAGTGGTCCGGACGATGGGGATCCGTCTTGTTGTGTTGGGGAGAGTCTCCGAAATCCTACCCAACCCAGGGGTCCAGTTATAGTCCACAGAAGGAAAAGGGGGGAACATGCAGAACAATGAGAGTCTATTGAAATTGCTATGGGGGGAACAGGTGTATCTACAGAAAATCATCCAGGCTGAACAAACACAATAATGAATAAGTCCATTGAAGTTACTGGAGAAGAACAGGTCATGTCATTTCCCCCCACCCCACTCTCTGTGGTAGGGGTCTCAGTCTCAGTCCTTGGGGAGAGGGTTCTTGATCTCCGTCTATCACGGTGGTAACGAGGCAGATGAGGGGTCTTTAGTGAGAGACCACCAGAGTCACCCCAACAGTTCATTCAGCTTAAAGGTGGAGAGTGAAGCAGGAATTGCAGTAGGCCGCCCTGTGCTGGGTCCACGTTGGGTCTTTGCCAAGTCCTTGCCAACTTCTTGCCAAGTTCTTGCCGGGCCTCATTCGGAACGGAACATAACGGTAC